ACTTTTAACATTACAATCAGCTTGTAATAAATAAAAACTAGTTTCCGTATTGTTTAGCAGTTGTAAGCAACATAAAATTTAAATAAATACCCGATTTGTTGTCCACAAATGCAATATTTATATCCCCGATTGAACGAAAGAAAGATTGTGTCGAACCACAGGTCAAACTGCGAACTTAGTCAGAAAAATCAACACAAAATATTCGGCCGCGATCAGTTATTCCAGCGGCAACACATATCAAATCGGAATTAACCGCAATGGGTTCGGGCATAGGTTATGTACTTCGAAATGTAAATATCAAACGAAGTATTGTTGTTAAGCTGTGTCCGCTTTTTGGCTCCGAACTTTTTTTGAGTATATTATTTAAAATGTACTACATCTTCTGATCTTCGTATTATATTTCTAAAGTCAGTTTTCGTCCCAAATATTTTGTAATCGCGGATTTTAATCACCCCCCCCCCCTCCCATCGCGGCCCAAGTCCGCGATGCGGGACGAAATGTATTTGTCGACGGTCCCTAAGCTCAAGCGTCCAAGCATTTCGAGCCTTCATCCTGGGTGATAAACGCCTACGAATGATTTAATGAGTTTTAACCACTCGCGTACTTGCTCAGCAATGAGTGAACCAACAATAATAGTAGAGCTTAAGATTCTCTCTTGGATCACTCGATGTTTTTCCCATTTATCAAAGAGGGGAGTGAGTGATCGAGTTGACTCCTCCTCAAAAGCAACAAAATTTGCCGTTTGATTGCGTAGGGACCATAACTCTCGCACAGCAGAATCAATCGCTTCGGCCGGATTAGCTGTGATGACCTGTGCATCTTCATTATCTGATAAATCGACCTCATCAGCCAATATATTTTGTAAAACTTTATCAGATGTAATATATTTCTGCTCAGACTTTTCCGCCATCTTGAAAATTTTGGCAGTAGACCGCTGACATTTCGAAAACTAACAGTCGTCTCCTAAATGCTACTTGAGCTCTTTTGCTCTCCCGGCGTGAAATGGAAAATATTGGTACATATCTTAAACAGCTTGAAAGACATCAAAGTTCCGAGATGTTATTTCACAAGAAAGGAAGAGCCGCCAGTGAAGCAATAGTTACATGGATTCTCTGATGCATCCAACAAAGCATTTGCAGCAGTTGTTTATCTTCAGACGGAACACGCAAATGGCGATAATGAAATTAATCAGAGGAAATGAAATTAAGAGGAGATTTTTTACAAACTCGCGTATTTGGCGCTCAAAACCAATCAGATTGCCGGAATGCTGAGAAGCCGATAGAACAATGCTGGCAATATGGCGGCGTCGTTTCGTGTCGAGGAGTGTGTCGTTTGAAAATGATGCAGTTTTTAACGCAAATAACAACTGGATGGGGAGATTTTTGATAGATAATTAGTCAATTTAATCTACAAGAAGTAAGGGGATGGATTTAACAAGATGAATTTATAATAAACAAAGAATTACAAGCGATGCAATGTTTAGTTGCATTTGTTTTGACTGGACTGTCATGGAACCTTGGAAGGTATGGTTGAATTTATACTAATTTTCTAGCCAATAACCTGCTTCTGATCAGACTAGAAAATATTAAAAACAAACCTGACATACTCAACTTACAGCAAATCATATATTAACAGAACTAGCGTGTTTGTCCAGCATTAATTTTGCAGATTTTTACAAACAATTTCAAAATTTACTGATTTATTTGGAAAGGTGATTAAATGAAGCATGTTTGGCTATACATGTAGCTTTTACATTATATGTTCTGTTTTTTAAGATATATTTTCTGCAATTAAATGTATCGATTTTAAAATCGAAACGCTAAATAGGTTTGGATTTAGTTTTTACTGCTCTTGCCAAATGTGACTTAATTACACCAGTGGTTCATTGGTAAAACATAATTTCAGCAGTTATAAATCATCCGAAACTGCTTCTGATCTAACAAAATGTTTTTCACAATAGACCCTGGGTCTGATAGTTTACAAAAAGTATAATTTGATTCAAATTTGAGTGGTACGTCCAAGGTCGTTTTTTAACATTTTTAAAATCAACCAAAATTACAATATTCACAGTGTTTATTTACTTGAACAGCCCAATATTTGTATTTTTTTCTTGGAAAATCATGTGAGATATCAAGTTTAGTCATATGGACATATCACTTATTCCATTTTTCACTATCCATTTTGATTTAAAATCTGTATGAACATTTTTATTTCCAAAATCCATCAAGTACTGGTACTGTATACTATTTGGCAGAAATGAACTTTTAACAATCTACTCTTTAACATCAAGTTTAACTGTTGAAAATTAGCCCAAAACTGTTTCTGATCAAACTAATTTCTCTTTAAGGATGAGGCCTGGTTATATTAGTTTGCAAAAAGTATAATTTGATTCAAATTTGAGGGGTAGGTCCAAGGTCGTTTTTTGACATTTTTAAAATCGACCAAAACTACAATATTCACAGTGTTTATTTACTTGAAAAGCCCAATATTTGTATTTTTTCTTGAAAAATTGTGTGAATATCATGTTCATAGTCATATGGACATATCGCTTATTCCATTTTTCACTATCCATATTGATTTAAAATCTGTATGAACATTTTTATTCCCAAAATCCATCAAGTACTGGTACTGTACTATTTGGCAGAAATGGACTTTTAACAGTCTACTCTTTAACATTGAGTTTAACTATTGAAAATTAGCCCAAAACTGTTTCTGATCAAACTAATTTCACTTTAAGGATGAGGCCTGGGTATATTAGTTTGCAAAAAGTATAATTTGATTCAAATTTGAGTGGTAGGTCCAAGGTCGTTTTTTGACATTTTTAAAATCGACCACAATATTAGAAAGTTCATAATATTAGGCTGTTTTGAAGGATATGTGAATCTAATGTGCAGAGCTGAAAAGTGCTGCGGAACTGTTACTGAAGAAACTAAATTGTCTCACATATGAAGGCTGGAGTATGTTAGTTTGCAAAACAATTTGCTTAAAATCTGAGTGTGCGGTCCAAGGTTGGTTTTTACCATTTCTAAAACCTATCAGGATGTCTGTCTGCGAATATCCACAATTACTACCAAAATCAACATATTCATAAAAAGGCTTGTCAACCGGGCCAGCCTGGTTAGTGTATTTATATGGGAAAATGCTTGTCCTGGTAACCAAGATTTAATGTTTTTGAAGTGAGGTCTTGTGCAAAGCTACACAGTGATATGTCTCTTATTATAGGTTAGTAGTGCTAACCATGCAAACCAAGCTTTCATATAAAAATCCTCCATGTCTGAACCTCTTTATTTAACCCATTCAGTGAATTTTTCTTATCAATTTCATTGAAAATAAACACATAGATGGGTCATATTGGAATTCTACCAGGCCAGGCATAAATTAGATCATGCCATATACACAGTATATCATAATGAATTTGCAAAAATATCAGATTTTCTAAGAAGATCTTTTCTTGGAGGTTATCAAAGAAAACAAGAAATGAAACAAGATGAATATTTATTAAATCACAGATTGTGATACAAATTTAATTATGATAGAAATTTATATATTGTGTGGATATTACAAAAAGTTTATAGGATGTACAGAATACTCAATACAATGTACAGACATCTGTATTCATAATCATGTCTTTAAGATTGTAAAAGTAATATCCCAGAGATCTGTAAAAAATATACTTTCATTGTTAACTCAGAGGGAAAGAAGTATTCTTTTGTGTGGCATCGGGATTGATTTATTTGGGGGAGGTGGGGGAGGTGGGGGAGGTGGGGGAGGGGGGTTAGTGTAAAAAGGCAACTTTGTTTTCCAAAAAAATTGATTGAGCCCAAGGGTGGATTTTATTTTTTTTAAAGGAGGGGTGGGAAAATTTCTAGTGGGGTGCAAGTGGAAAAATAGGTGTGGTAAATTTCTAGGGTTGAATTACCCCCCCCCTGTATATCCGCCCATGCTTGAGCCTGTCTGGGGTCCATAGTGATGATCCATCCTGCCTCATCAGGTCAGGCCCTGTTTTATAACCAACCCTGGTTTAGTAACCCTCGTACCACATCAAGTTATATGCATGAGGGAAAGTAGGTTGTTTGAACTATTATTTCCACTTGCAATTGTCACCTATATCCCATATGAATTTGTGGTTTCCAATTACTTTATATACTGTATGACTAGCATGGTATACCTGAAGCACTGCAACAGCTACATGTGTACAAAACAGTATGCATGAAATTTAAAATTACAGATATGCATGCTATGTGCACTTGCAGTGAAATGTTTTTAATATGGACATATGCAACAGTAAGTCAGTAACCAGAGCCAAAATAAGAAAAAACTGATTAGAAGTAAATGGATTATATTTACAAATGTTCAAATTCTTCCTTAAAAATTCAAAAATAGTGCTTTAAAATTTTGCATGTACCTACTGTTACATATTAACGAGTTATGAACAGGTAGCCATCATTCCAAAGACGAAAGCAGTCACTTTCAAATTTCAATCAGTTTAATATTACAATAGCTTTAAACGCTACATGTGCATATTTACATAATAATAATTTAAATAACAGCTATTAAATACGATATTACACTTACCATGTTATCTTTCTTTATATTTGGCAATGTTTTGCCTCGTGACACAGCCAAAAATCCAGTGAAATTCTGTTATTTTTCTTCGCAAATTTTGAGAAACTTTTAAAACCAAGATGGCGGCGCAGCATTTTTTCGCGAAGGCCTGGTCGCTAAGTTTTGAGCGCTTTTCGAAAAAAATACGCGACTTTGTAAAAAATCTCCTCTTAATCATTTGCAGCGGTTGTTTATCTTCAGACGGAACACGCAAATAGCGATAATGAAATTAATTAATTAAAAGAAATTAAAAGAGGCTATGATAACCACTGTTTACAAATCTGATGACCGTAAATCTTTTGGTAACTATAGACCAATTTCCATTCTTCCAATATTTTCAAAAATACTGGAAAGAATTATTTACAACAGATTATTAACATATTTGGATAAAATGCATATCCTATCCAGCAATCAGTATGGTTTCAGAAAGAATTACTCAACTTATATGGCTTTAATTGAATTAATCGACAGTCTCTCTCTTTCGATTGATAACAATGAATATACTGTAGGCATATTTGTTGATTTATCAAAAGCGTTTGATACTGTGAACCACAAAATTCTTATAAGTAAACTAAACCATTACGGTATCAGAGGTACTCCACTCATGTGGTTTAAAGATTATTTAAGTGATAGGAAACAAACTGTGAAATTTAGTGAGACGGTCTCCTCAAAAATGATTGTAACGTGTGGTGTTCCCCAAAGCTCTACCACTTTTATTTCTTCTTTACATTAACGATATTGCCAATTGCTCTAATCTTCTCAATTTTATTCTGTTTGCTGATGATACTAGTATATATCATTTCGACAGAGATCCTGCCACACTCATCCGTAAAGTTAATTGTGAACTTGATAAACTGTCGGACTGGTTTAAAGCAAATAAACTTTCACTTAATTTAAAGAAAACGAATTATGTATTTTTTCGCGCAAGAAATAAACCCATTCCAAGTCGAGATAATTTAAATGTGTTTATTGACTCTATAAAAATTAAAAGGTTAGCTACCACTAAATTACTTGGAACTTATATAAACGAACATTTAGACTGGAAACCACATATTTCACACGTTGCCCTAAAGATGGCAAAATCTATTGGCATCATAAACAAAGCAAAGCATTTTATTACTAGCCCCACCAGAAGAACTTTATATTGCTCCTTGGTGTTACCGTATATTCAATACTGTAATATAGTTTGGGCTAAATCACATCCTACTAATCTTGATAAAATCATGAAATTGCAAAAACGTGTAGTGCGTATTATTGCTAATGCTGGATATCGAGATCCTACTGAACCACTTTTTTCAAAATTCAGTTACTTGATGTTTATGCCATTAATAAATTTCAGACTGGTTCTTTTATATATAGATGCTTTGACAAGTCCTCAATCTTCCCGCAACATTTTAGGAATTATTTCATCCTTAACAAGGACATTCACTCTTACGAGACGCGGAATGCCAACAGAGTTCATATCAACCAAGTCAGAACAACAACAAGAAAACAAACTCTTAAACACAGTGGATCATTGTTTTGGAACTCACTAGATAAATATATAACCGAAGCTGCTACGTTATTTATTTTTCAGGCTAGACTAAGGTCCCATATTCATAAATATTGAGTATAATATAGTTTATGATTTATTTCTATATACCCATATTTCTTTTTCACTCAATCATTTGAATACATAGATTCTTAAAAATCTCCTTCCCAGTTCCGTTGGTTGATCAGTGCTTGTTCAAGTTCTCTCGAGCTTTCTCACTGCTCAACCTTCTGCACAACAATATATTTTTTTATATAAAACTCAACAAATAATGGATTGTAATATGGGACCAATATTATTATAGTATATGAGTATATATAAGGGAATCGTGTAATGTAATGTTGTGTGGTAAAAATAAATTGATTGATTGATCCTTGATTGATTGATAATCTAGTTGCGTCCAAGGAACGAGTAGCTTCAATAAAACGTCAGTTTATACCTCGTTTAGAGTTGCTTGGAGCAACAATTATAGTTAGACTTGTCAAATCTGTCAAAGAAGCGATGAGCTCTCAAAAAACGCCTCCTGCGAAGTGTTCTTGTGGAGCGATTCTTACACCGTCTTGTGTTGGATTCGTAATGACAAAACATGGAAGCTTTATGCTCAAAACAGAGTGAAGGAAATCAGGGAACTTTTCGACCGAGAGAAATGGAGATTTTGTGCGGGAGAGATCAATATAGCCGATCTACCCTCAAGATGTTGTTCTGCAGAGGAGCTACAGTAGGCAGCTGGCAGAGTATTGTATCATAAATATAAAGTTTTTGTTACATGTTCAGCCTTAAATGAAAAGTTTAAATTTACTAAGAACCTGAACAAGTGTTTACCCATTACTTGGCTGGTCGGCCGATGATCAAGTAATTTCAGTTAAACTTGATATAGGTATAAATTCATACACGTATAAATGGGCTTAAAATGTAGGGTCGGGGAAACCATTCCTTATAGCGTGGAGCCAGTTTTGCAGGTCTTAGAAGGTGACACGGTTCATTTTCCATCCCCGAAAAATAAGATGAGCAATGATGTTGTTCTCGAGGGAGACACGCCATTCTTTGCAACGTCTGACGTCCCACTTGATTTAATTAACAATCGATCTATTGATCACGTGAACACGGAAATGATGAATGTAAGTTGGCGAATGTTTCCGCTCCATAGACATATTCCGCGTGATGAACAAAGAAACATTGCGGCTTGCGCTCGGTGCTTTGCTGAGTTAATATTATAACAGTGATCTGTAATGACGTGTTTTAATTTAACGTACATTAAGGCGTTAACAAATAAGTATTCTGGTCGTCACTAACTAATTAGCTTATGACACGTCAGCGAATCGCACACAAATCCCAGTCACATTTTACGTAGAAAAGGCAATTAAGTCCAACAATTCTTTTGTTTTTCTCTCTTAGCTTATTGTGCTTATCTCAATGGAATTGGTTATGCGGATAACTTCGAGCGAAATCAATTTGATTCAATGAAATTCCGACTTTCGTCGACGATTCTCATTATTTATAGTATATTGAAATATGACACAATAATTTGTAAATGGAAAAGTGGGAATCGTCCACTTTTAACCAATTTTCTCTGTCTTTTATAACGACACGCGTGCATTTTTGAAGCCAAATTATTAATTTATTCCTTACTCACAGAACTGTGCATTTAAATTCCCAACAACGATCATATACATGTGAGAAAATATGGAAATTATTACGCGAACAAGTGTGGGATTCGTTGATACGGAAATACGATATACGATATACGATACGTTGTCGTAGTAACATTCTCAGTATTTTATTCTAAAGCCGCCAGCCTGCAATACAACGTACATTAGCGTAGGCATGCTTGTGATAATATTATTAAAATAATATACATAAATATTATATAAAGTTTTTATAACTCTAGTTTTAAATTGTGTCCATACACGCCCTCTAGGGGCTAAAGCGTCACTAAGGGGCTGTGTCTTATAAACAGAAGAAATCCCGTCTGAATAGAAGCCAATATTTCGCCAGAAGAATCCAGACTTTGTGGAAAGAATCTTCTTGCATTCTTGCGCAAACGCCTTTCTTCCCGCGCGATCACGACGTGTTAAAACCCCCTTTTTACGCGCAGGTAAATAATCAAATCCAGCTGCCTTCACCTCACGATCAGATGTCCTATAGGAAATATGACGTGACAGCAGCCTGCTGTGCGCAACCAAGCACTTAACAGTAAAATTTGGATCTTTATCACGAAGAGATTTTATTATTCTTATTAATTTATCCGATCTCTATCTGACAGCGTCTTTGGTCTACCAATTTTCTTGCATGTCTTCAAATTTTGCTTGTGCTGAACTTTTCCTCTCAGATAAGAGAGATTGACGATTTAGATTTTTTGCTTTTTTAGCAATCGCTCAGCAGGAATATTGTTCCCATTTGCCTAGTAATAGCACATATGCTCTCGTTGTATCTGAAATAGTTGTTTTATAAGCCATTATTACTTGCTTTCTATATAACTACCTCTTATTTATAGCATGCATACTGCGCGCTTTATAATACTACAGCTTTCAGATTAATCCGGATGTTTACGATGACGTTATATTCTCCACAAAAGTTACGTAATAAGCACTTAAAGATAATTGCATTTGCTTCCGAACGTGTTTACTAGACCTAAATTCCAGATTGCTCCACTAGTTTAGCTTGCAGTTCCAAAATACAAAGTTCCTAATGTTTGAGTAGTTCTGGAAACGCGCATAAACGCATTATGATTAAACTAGAATGATGACATACAATGTATGCGTAAATTATCCATGTATACGCTCACCAAAACACGGCATATATAATATTTGTAAACACCATTGGGAATACTATAAAAAAAACCAAGTAATTCTAGCTTCAATAACTAAAATTTTCATTTTGCTTAGAATAACGTTTCTGACAATCAGTGACAAAACACTTTGGACAAAATGGCAAAAGAGCGTACATTTACAACACAATCGACACCCCGCACCCTCCGTTCAATGTTGTGTGTGGAAATACCGGCGCAAAATGTTTATTGCCAGCCACCCAATATTGTTTAGGGTGGGGGAGGGGGATAGTGCTTTTATGCTGAACAGTATTTGGAAATGCGCGGATATGTCTATATTATATCACTGTCCACAAACCTTTTGTCACTGATTGTAGTTAGAAACCATAGTTGGTGGAAAGGTCCCGAGTTTTTTAATCATTCACCCGAGGACTGGCCTCAAGAGCCACAACAAAGCTCCATCAATAACGAGGAGAAAGCATTAGCTGAAATCAAGAAGACCTCACCAACCATCGTGTACTCAATGGCGAATCCATCAATCAACAATGATCATGAAAGTTTCGATATCGACGATATAATAGACATAAATGGATATAGCACTAAATTGAAACTGTTACGAGTAACAGCAACGGTTATAAGATATGCTAAAAGTTGGAGAAACCCTCGACACAAATTTGAAAGTGCTGACGGCGCAAGAATTACACGAAGCCGAAATACGATGAATCCAGACCGTTCAAGAACAACAATTTCAACACGAGTTAAGCTAACTTATAGAAATGTGAAAAACTCCGACACCCGTGGTCTCACAATTGGGTCTGTTCCGCGACGACGATGGAATGGAAATTCGTCTCAACAAAAAGAATCCAAACAGCCGATTCTCCTACCAAAAACACATTACTTCACAGAGCTACTTATCAAAGAGCAACACGAAGTTGTACACCACAATGGCATTCGAGACACTCTCAACTCGATTCGTCTGAAATATTGGATCCAACGAGGTAGAGAAGCAGTGAAGCGAAAAGTAAGAAGATATGTCGTGTGCAGAAAGATCGAAGAGAAATCTTTCCCAACACCGAAAGTTCCGCAGCTCCCAGCGTGTCGAGTAAGCGAAGAACCACCCTTCTCTAATACCGGTATAGATTTCCCTTGTCCAGTTTACGTAAAATAATCGTCTGGAACAATTAACACTAGCAACGACCTAGACAAAGTATACATAGCGCTCTTTACCTGTGCATCTGCGAGGGCTTTGCATTTAGAACTAGTGGAAAACATGTCAAATCGTCCATCCCCGGGCCCCACCCCGCTTGCAAGTATAGTATATCTCATTCATTATAATCGTCATCACTGTCTCGGTAATCTAAATATATTTTCTTCATATATTGTAATATGTGAAATGATTGTTCAGTCGAGCATTGTTCCCATTACGAATATTTTGTTGACATAGTGCAAAATCATATTTTTTGTGTGTATTTTGAGTTTGTGTACTCAGGTAAATATCATGTTTTTTTTTATGGTACCAAAAGGTCGCGGGTTTGATTCCCACCGTGGTCAGGCTAGTACAGAATCATCCTCAGAGAAACAAGAGAGCAATTGTCGAACATGATTTCTTACAGTGCCGAATTAAGTTAAGTCTAAAAGCTCGCACCAGGGCGATTTGAAATCACACCTTCAGGAGTCCAGTTCCTCTCTCTATCTAATGCATCAGTTTATTTCCCTCTCGGAATGCAGGCGAGCTTTGCCAATTTTCGAACTCGACACAAAGTGTTTTCGAGACGATTTAATCGTTATCCACGACAATAAGAGCGCTGTTTTTACTTTTATTACCGAGTCCTCCTCGATGATGCTATATCGAAATCTAATCATGTGAATCCACTCCTGGATAAAGTCATGGAAAGTGACGCGCTTTAACTTCTCCTCATATATATTGTAGAATGCTGGCGTCATATTTCTGACGAATTTAAACATATTTACTAAACCGTGTCGTTCAGCACCTACCCAACCCCCACGCCGATGGAAACCAAGACCATGGAGGTCACGCTGGTGGAATGGTGGGTATGGTGGGTATGGTGGGTTCGGTGGATATGGATGCGGGTGGGGTGCTGCTAATTTTGGTGGACATAAATGCGGTTGGCGCATGTCATATTACAGATCGCTTTCTGGATTATCTACACCAGGTAAGATACTTGAAATGAATGCATCATTTCCATAATTACAGTGCAAATGCGGAATGATCGCTATTGGCATCTCAAAAATATTTCTATAAAATGTCACGAGATGGATAACGATTGTTGTTCAATAAATTAACTTAAGGGCGATGTCATAATTGTCCTGATTGAACGCGGCGAACGAGAGACATTTATAAAATCGTCCTGAAAGCAATACTACTGATGTCGCCTCGTCCCCATTATGGTAACCTGTTTTTTTATTTAAACATATTTGGAATCATTTTCAGATATTATATTACATTACACTTTCGCATTCACAAGGATTTATTAGAATTTTAATAATTGTCCTGATGCAACAATTATCATAATAGGGTTATAATAATTAGTATCAATGACAGAAAATCATGCAGTAACAGAAAACGTTATCAATGATATATTGTCTTTCACCCTGCCACCGCTCTGATAAAGGCACAAGTATGAGATGTGTATAAGTTATCATACGAGGTTCAAGGCCATACCAGTTTTATCGCTTCGAGAAAGATTTATGAAATCGTCCTGCGAGTGATGATGGTGATATTTGCCACTTCCAAATTACGATAGATTGTTTATTTTATACTTATGCCGTATCAAGGTCAGAATTATTTAGAGTGTATAATATTCTTTTTCTACGTTTCGTGGCATGCCCCTTTATCAAGGATAAATAACAGAGTTTGATGTACATGCTTTTATATCCTATTCAATTCATTAACATAAATTACCCAAAATCCCTTACATTTAATCCCTTAGGTACAAACGTGTCCAAATTATATGCCCAAAATGCCTCTCTTTGCGTAGGATCATTCATATTTGTTTTGTCAATAACTTTGTTATTTATCCTTGATAAAGGGGCATGCCCCGAAAAGTAGGATAAGAATAAAGTCTTAAAAAAGTTCGTTTTGTGATTTACTTATATATATATAAATATATATATAAATATATATATATATATATATATATATATATATATATATATATATATATATATATATATATATATATATATATGTGTGTGTGTGTGTGTGTGTGTGTGTGTGTGTGTGTGTGTTTGTGTGTGTTTGAGGCAGCTTGTAGAATATGTGATTTTGTTGTGAAATTGCGTATCAAGCCTATACTAAGAAAAATTCTGAGAATTGAACCACGTAACCTTCTGATAACCGGACAAACGCTCTAACCATTGAGTTATAAGGCATCAGATGGTGAGCCAAGGTTACGTTATTTACTAGTTCTGTGTGTTACATGTGTACTGCTAACTGCAAGTCTCGACATGTCTTGTTGATGTTATTAGGGCTCAGAATGATGATGTTGTTAGGGCTCAGAATTTTTCTGAGTATGGGCTTGATACGCATCCACACCAAAATTATATATATATATATATATATATATATATATATATATATATATATATATATATATATATATATATATATATATATATATATATATATATGTATATATATATATATATATATATAAATTAAGGTACAACAAATCAACAAAATCCACTAGGCATCTTTGTTACTAAATAGTTTCGTACCACAGTATGTGGCACTCTTCAAATAAATTGACCTAATGACTATAGACTAAAACTTACAAGATTATATGTACAAGTGGATGAGACATGAAACTTAATCCTATTTACAAAGCACGCGATTTAATAAACATGTTATATGATAAGCTGACAGGACGCGGAAAGATTAACACACCGCGGTATATTTAAATGTCTAGCTTTTAAATGTTACTTAAAAGGAATTTTTTATTATGCCTACATGCTGATATTAATTCATTACGTTTGTTTAAAGTGGCCATTTTAGGCTTACAAAAAATAAAGTATTTCTCCCATGAACACAAATTACATCTATTTGAAGCACAGTTATAAGGCAGTTAGGCTCACAGTTAGTTAGGCTCACAGTTTTTTAGATGCCTAGTGGATTTTGTTGTACCTTAATTTAAATATGCTCTGGTTTTCCATTGAGCACTTTGCCAAAAGTTTTTATAACTAACAAAACCAAATTATATATATATATATATATATATATATATATATATATATATATATATATATATATATATATATATATATATATATATATATATATATATATATAGGAGTCAGGGCATATAGCCTAGTACCGTGTCGTCGTGTGCGACCTTCTGATATGTAGGCTACACTCTAAAAAATAGATGTGCTTAATAACACACCGACCTGTGTTATCTTACACGCCTGGTGTGCTACACTGACACACAATCAAACCTTAACACACCTTGATGTGCTAGTTAACCTATCATGGTATGTTAAAGAGCACGCCAGTGGGTTAAAAAGCACGCCTTTCAATAACACATCTTTCGTGCTATTAAGCCAAACACACCTTCCGACAAAATGCGTGTGTTACTCCAGCATGTCTTTTAATTACAGCACACCTTCGAAAGGCAACACATCTTGTAAAATAGCACGCCTTGGTCAGATAACACACTTTTTCAAATAACACACCTAATTAAAATTTTTATTAACACATCTTGGGAAAACACGCCTTAAGAAGTAACACGCCTTTTCAAAATAACACTCCTTCCTTAGTTAACCTTTGGACACATGGGTTTTAAAATACATACATCTCTCTTTGTGACTTTTATACGTTCGTTATTGTTCATTTGTGTTAACTATAGTTTCTGTGGTGTTCACCTTGAAGCTTGAAAATTGCGCCGTAATATATTAGAATTAAAAAGCCAGCTATGTTTTTAAAGGCGAATTGGTTCATTGTAAAAACATAGGACTCCAAGAACTACATTAATATTTATCGCGAAATTAATAGATCTATCTATCAATTATGGGAAAAGATAGTATAGTTCATTCAAAAGATTGTAATATCGGTATTTTAGCACGGTTTTGAAAAAACACAATCGGTGTGTTACATAAATATTCAAATTTTCCCCTACTAACTGACTACAAGCTTTCGACCAATAAGAACTTGCGTTTCAGTATACAATTTTGGTTTCATGTTCCAAATTTGTCAGTCAGTGTCTGCACGGTGTCTGCTAGCGCTATTATAAAGTATATCGTTCGACTGAATGTGATCGTTTCATATAGTTTGATGCCAGAGTATGGAAAAGCTGAATCCTAATATAACGCTATAATGGAAATTGATAAACATTCATTGGTTAAAGTTAAACCAAGCTTGATTAGAATAATGTTCATAGACTATTAAAATTAAAAAGGGTAGCTGCTTGACGCGCTTTGAATCAACACCGTTTTAATTAAAAATGTATATAGCCGTGCTTTCGAAATCTGGCCGTTGTAAAGTTCACTCGGACAGAAGCAGAACAAGCGGTACGTGGATGAGATAGATATTTATCTATAGGTGAGTTATAAACTATTTTTGTATACCGCTTATATACTGTAGTCATTGTCAATAGCTGGGGGGAATTATATGTAATGAATAGAATAATGACGAATTTCGTCCTCTAACTTGTACTAAAATAGTAATAGAAAAATAACTTAAAATATCGTGCATAAAAATATGTCCGCCTAAGATTCTGTTGAAGAGTGCATTGAGATATTTCTGTAACCTCAGTCTCAGCCCAAATATGTATTCATGCCGCGCAGCGGGAAATCGCAATTCAAAGCCTATTAACTGCTGAGTGCTCTCATCTTTCCAAACATATTGTTAATTTAAACTATTTTGTATACAAAGAAACTATGATTCAAGTTAACCCAAAATGAGCTACATTTAAAGCTGAAAATTACTTGTGTTTCGATCTGCATATGAAGTGTTATGCCTTATGGTGCCCTGGACATGAATGTCCCAATTGACACAGGAACATTTTTATGCAGCAATTGTCATTTTCAAGTGAAATGTACTGTTTTGGTACTCTATTAATCAATATATATGAGGGACAATCACATTGGAAACTATCCAAAAATTATATAAATTGCCTATTTGTCATACTGTAAAACAATCTCGTACCCAGAGCAATGCCGCGCCGGCTGGGAAAGCATTGGCTCTGGGGAAATTGACAACCGGAACCCCTAAATTTAGGGGTTCCGGTTCTTTGTCGGCATGCACGATTGATAAACGTTAAACCAATCACAGCACAGGAAAAATTCAATTTCCCCAGAGCCAATGTCATCCTAGCCCACGTACAGGCATTGCTCTGGGTACGAGATTGACTGTAGAATAGATATTCACCATTTGACACTGTTCTTGCATTTATTCAGTATATACAAGACCTGTTGCATTTATTTTAATTCCAGTTTAGTTGATCAGGCTGAAAACTACTTGTGTTTCGATTGCTGCATACTAAGTGTTATGGTGGGATGACCCATACCTTGCCGCCCTGGACAAATGTCCTATTTGACACAGGAACACTGTTATGAGCAATTGTCCTTTTCAAGTGAAATGTTTTGGTACTCTATTAATATGAGGGAAAACATATTGAAAACAATCCAAAAATTATATAAATTGCCTACTTGTCATAGAATAGATATTCACCATTTGACACTCTTCCTGCATTTATTCAGTATAATTAAAGACCTGTTGCATTTATTTTAATTCCGGTTAAGTTGATCAGGCCGAAAACTACTTGTGTTTTGACTGCTGCATACTAAGTATTATGGTGGGATGACCCATCCCTTGCCGCCCTGGACAAATGTCCCATTTGACACAGGAACACTGTTATGCAGCAATTGTCATTTTCAAGTGAAATGATTTGGTACTCTATTGATATGAGGGAAAAACATATTGAAAACAATCCAAAAATATATAAATTGCCTATTTGTCATAGAATAGATATTCACCATTTGACACTGTTCTTGCATTTATTCAGTATAATTAAAGACCTGTTGCATTTATTTTAATTCCAGTTTAGTTGATCAGGCTGAAAACTACTTGTGTTTCGATTGCTGCATACTAAGTGTTATGGTGGGATGACCCATCCCTTGCCGCCCTGGACAAATGTCCCATTTGACACAGGAACAC